CTGAGAGGCCAAAATCCAGGTGTCAGCGCAGCCATGCTCCCTCTGAAGGCTCTAGGAGAGAATCCTCCCTGCTGCTTGCAGTGGATAGCGGCTGCTGCAGTCCTTGGTATTCCTCGGCTTATAGATTCATCTTTCTGATCTCCACCTCCAGATTCGTGTTCTCCTCATGCATGTGTGTTTCTGTGTCTAATTTTCCCTCTTCTTTTAAGGACAGCAGTCATTGGATTAAGACCTGTACTCATCCAGTACGAGCTCATCTTAAGTTGACTACGTCTGCAAAGACCCTTATTTCCAAATAAGCTCACATTCAGTTTCTGCATGGGTATGAATTTTGGTGGGACATTATTCAACCCCGTTCACCATCCAATGTGCCCTACATATTCTATTTGCTTCTTGTGTCTCTCTCCCACTAGAATGTTAGCGCTGCAAGGTTAAGGATCGTTGTCCTATTTTATTCATTGCTATATCCTCAGCTTTGGGAGCAGTGCGTTACTCATGGTAGACATTCAAAATAGTTTGTAAATAAATCTAAGTACCCATCTGCTTTCAACCGCAGAGGGCATCTGAATAATAGAAGAAGAAAGATAAGGATGGGAACATACATATTGCTTAGAACACAATGTTCTGTGTTTGTTGGATGAATGGACATATATGGTGGATATACTGTATTACTTTAACATTTATGGAGCACTTGTTTTGTACAAGGTACTTTAACATTTATGGAGCACTTGTTTTGTACAAGGTTCTGAGGGAAGATACAAAAATGTGAGAATGAATCATCTGAGTATCGTCACTGTGCCTCTGTGTGACCCTGGGCAAGTCACTTGACCTCTCTGCTTTACTTCCCTCATCTGTAAGACGGGGGGTGGTAATAATAGCACCTACATCATAGGATTGTCATGAGGATTAAGTGAGTCCTTATATGTGTGTAGCACAGTGCCTGGTACACAGTAAGCACCAGAGACATGTTAACTATTACCATTGTAGTTGTTATGTGTTAGCTCTGTGCAAGGTGGTTTTTTCTTTAAAAAAAAAAAAAAAGCCGGGCGCGGTGGCTCAAGCCTGTAATCCCAGCACTTTGGGAGGCCGAGGCGGGTGGATCAC